AGTCGAAAAGTTCAAATATGTGCTTAAAAATGTACTCCGACTTCTTAAAGACCCTTAAATCCAAGATGGCGGTCAAATTTCGCCTCCTGAAAGTCAAACGGGCACGTGTGCTCCTATATGGCATGTGAGGTATCTTTCATACCATTTTTTGGGCCGTAAAATCGAAAAATGATGTTAAAAAATCCTTTGAGCTTCATTTAAGGCCTCAAATTCCAAGATGGCGGCCAAAATTGCTGAAATTTTGGAACCATAAATTCTGTAATGGCTTCTCACATCATGTGACGAATCGAACCCCATAGATTTCTGGACGTAGAATCCAAATCTTGAATTCAAAATTCACCCCGGCCCCTTGGGAAGTCCAAAATCCAAGATGGCCGCCGAAATTATCCCTTACAGGATCATACAGTCAGCCTTGACCTTAGAATAGCAGGATACGTATCCATTTACAGGTTTATTGGGTCGTAGAACTCATAGTCATAAATGAAGGTTAAAGTAACCTTCCTTTTACAATTTACGACATTTTAGTTTTAAGAATTGCGGCTAAAAGGCGTGAAGTGTGTGGATTTAAGAAATATTTCAATTTTACATGTTCAAAAAATTAAATACAACTGCTGAAGTATTTCCCAGTACTATTTTGCCACCTTTTTAGACAGTTCGGGTGACGTTTTTCTGGTTTTTTCTCTTGTTTTCGTGATTCTAGGGAAAATGGTCGAAAAAATTACATTATAAGAGGGGAGCTGATAAATTGCTGTTTCACAGGATTGATATGAATCAAGTTTGGAACTATTGACACAGGTTTTCTACAAATAAGTGAATCGCAAATCAGGGCTTATCCATTAGAATAAGCAATGACGTTAGCAGTTGCAATTAATTTTTTGAACATGTAAAATTGAAATATTTCTTAAATCCACACGCTTCACGCCTTTTAGCCGCAATTCTTAAAACTAAAATGTCGCAAATTGTAAAAGGAAGGTTACTTTAACCTTCATTTAGGACTATGAGTTCTACGACCCAATAAACCTGTAAATGGATACGTATCCTGCTATTCTTAGGTCAAGGCTGACTGTATGATCCTGTAAGGGATAATTTCGAAGGCCATCTTGGAGTTTGGACTTCCCAAGGGGCCGGGGTGAATTTTGAATTCAAGATTTGGATTCTACGACCAGAAATCTATGGGGTTCGATTCGTCACATGATGTGAGAAGCTATTACAGAATTTATGGTTCCAGAATTTCAGCAATTTTGGCCGCCATCTTGGAATTTGAGGCCTTAAATGAAGCTCAAAGGATTTTTTAACATCATTTTTCGATTTTACGGCCCAAAAAATGGTATGAAAGATACCTCACATGCCATATAGGAGCACACGTGCCCGTTTGACTTTCAGGAGGCGAAATTTGACCGCCATCTTGGATTTAAGGGTCTTTAAGAAGTCGGAGTACATTTTTAAGCACATATTTGAACTTTTCGACTAAAAATACAAAGGAATTCGCATACATGTCGACCATATAGGAGTCACTTTCACCCCCGTGGCGGTCATTTTGGGCGCCATCTTGAATTTAAGGGTGTTCCGGGGAAAATTGAGCCTGGCAACATCGAAATTCTGTTTCAGAACATCAAAACAAAGAGATCAAGCCATCTCGCCAACTTGTATCATTAACGGGCCCACGGGACCCCAAAAGTGAACATGAGCTCCCGGACTGTGCCTCTACCATTGACTCGCTCCGTAGTGCGCCGGGGTTTTTGCGCCCACAAATCTACTGCTCAGAGTACCGGAAGGCCGAAATCCATGATCAGTGTGAGCTTAAGTTTAACGTCAATTTAGCATTTGCTCAACAATCGAATTTCCTAAATTTGATCGTTTTCAACTGAATTTTGTATTTGAATAGATAAAAGGTGAGAAGATGAGTGGAATTCATCTGATTCAGAGCGTTAATTGATGGTCAGGATTTGGCGGCCCGCTAAATCCTGACATACACCGAGCGACAGACTCATCAAACTGACGCCAGACTGAAAATCAGGCTGATCGTGGATTTTGGCCTGGAGGTTTCCCCAGCTCTTTATTTTATTTATTCAAACTTATCGACATAATCTATGGGCATCACACTCGCAACACTCCTCAGTGAAATTCGCAACTGAAGCCTGATAACTCAATTCAAGTTTGAAAATGTGTCTTCAGGCAGAGTGATGCCTGCAGGTATTACTATTGAAGAGGGAATGCAGCACTAGGGGTGATCGAAATTCCCGACTTGAGCGCTATACAATCCGAATAGAGAAAAAAGGTGGCCAAATTGCATGTAGGTTACGGGAAAAATTGTCCGCAGCCGTAATTCCAACGGGAACATGGCGCTCAAGCCCTTCGAATATTTGCATCGTTAAAATGCCTAAAAAATCAGGTTTTTTCTCATTCGGGTCGGTGGAAGTGCCCTCAAACACGCAATTGCAGCATCAAGGAAATGTTTTCCTACGTATTTTTTCACGAGGAATCGATTTTACTGGTTTTTAAAACGATATATCGTTGTATTTAATCGATATATCGATTTTTCACCCGATTTCTGAGAAAAATTTGGTAATTTTTAACATTAACTGCATCAAATTCTATTAATTAGTGATACAAAGGCAAAAGTTTTAATGCATAAGTAAACTAGTGCTCACATAAACTTTTATACACAAGCCACTTACCCTCAAAGCAGCGTAATTCTTCAGTTTGGGTACTAGATGATGGCCGGAATGCCGGGATTCTCGGCGTCGCGTCGCAGCGATCGCGTTTCATGGCTCATCAGTCGAAAAAACATTTTTTTCGGAATCTGACGCCGGGTATCTAGTGAGGGTGAGTTGCCTTTTGGCATCAAATGACTTGAGGAAAAAATCCTGGCTCCATAGGACAACATTTTCATCGAAAACATGAGGTTCGAACTTCCAAAATCTCAAATTTTCGTCTTTACCGTGTTTTTTTTCTAAGATAATTTCTGGATGATAGAAAAGACACAACTGACACGTACCATACGTGTTTTCGTAGATAATTTGAGTCAAGGAATCGATTTTTGTGGTTGAAAAATTAAGATATCGATTTAAAATATCGTTTCTTGCGATACTTCGTCCGAAAAATCGATTTTTTTGTGTATATCCCAAGAAATTTTGATTCATCCATGCGAGCCTTTGATAAATCGACATTTTGACTTCAAAAATAGATTCCTCGTGAAAATATACAAGGGAGAACGGGGTTACACCTGCTTAAAATACGTAGAAATTTTGACAACTAAGGTACAATTCATAAAAGTTTAAAAAAAAAATCCTCAAAATAGGAGTTTTTGCTGTTTTTTAGTCCACGTACATCTCCATTCAGTCCTAAAATAACTTCATTTCCCTTGATGATACAGAAATTTCAGCGCCTTGTTAAAAGATAGATCATTAAAAGAAGTATTTCGTCAGCCTTGTTTCAATTCTGTAAGTCAAACAGAACTGGAGATATGCCCGTTTCTGTGAAGGCCGATTTTATCGAAGTTCACCTGAGAACCTCAACACAACTCTACAAGACCGCCATGGATACCAGGATGGTCAAAAAAAGTTTAAAAATGGTTTAAAAAAAAATCTAGAGTCCAGACTCTTGAAAACATTGACAAGAAAAAGGACTCTTGATTCCAGCAGATTTAAGCTTAAATCGAGAACCAAGCCTCTTAATTTGAGCGGATTTCCTGATTGAATTGCGGAATCTGATTGAATCAAGAGTCCTTTTTCTTGTCAATGTTTTCAAGAGTCTGGACTCTAAATCCAATGTGTGCATCCATTTGGATAGCTTAAGAAGTAACCTAATTATAAAAAAAAGTCAGGGTCGGTCAAGCTAGAGTCGCTGGATGATTTCGCGTGGAATGACCCATCAGCGAATTCAGTTTAAAAACTAGTATGAATTGTACCTTAATTGTCAACATTTCTACGTACTTTGATCAGGTGTAACCACGATACTCTTTGTATTTTTTTTACGAGGAGTCTATTTTTGAAGTCAAAATGTCGATTTATCAAAGGCTCGCATGGATGTATCAAAATTTCGTGGGATATACACAAAAAAATCGATTTTTCGGACGAAGTATCGCAAGAAACGATATTTTAAATCGATATCTTAATTTTTCAACCACAAAAATCGATTCCTTGACTCAAATTATCTACGAAAACACGTATGGTACGTGTCAGTTGTGTCTTTTCTATCATCCAGAAATTATCTTAAAAAAAAAACACGGTAAAGACGAAAATTTGAGATTTTGGAAGTTCGAACCTCATGTTTTCGATGAAAATGTTGTCCTATGGAGCCAGGATTTTTTCCTCAAATCATTTGATGCCAAAAGGCAACTCACCCTCACTAGATACCCGGCGTCAGATTCCGAAAAAAATGTTTTTTCGACTGATGAGCCATGAAACGCGATCGCTGCGACGCGACGCCGAGAATCCCGGCATTTCGGCCATCATCTAGTACCCAAACTGAAGAATTACGCTGCTTTGAGGGTAAGTGGCTTGTGTATAAAAGTTTATGTGAGCACTAGTTTACTTATGTATTAAAACTTTTGCCTTTGTATCACTAATTAATAGAATTTGATGCAGTTAATGTTAAAAATTACCAAATTTTTCTCAGAAATCGGGTGAAAAATCGATATATCGATTAAATACAACGATATATCGTTTTAAAAACCAGTAAAATCGATTCCTCGTGAAAAAATACGTAGGAAAACATTTCCTTGATGCTGCAATTGCGTGTTTGAGGGTACTTCCACCGACCCGAATGAGAAAAAACCTGATTTTTTAGGCATTTTAACGATGCAAATATTCGAAGGGCTTAAGCGCCATGTTCCCGTTGGAATTACGGCTGCGGACAATTTTTCCCGTAATCTACATGCAATTTGGCCACCTTTTTTCTCTATTCGGATTGTATAGCGCTCAAGTCGGGAATTTCGATCACCCCTATGCAGCACCCCTCCCGAAACAATGTCAGGATAAAGAAATAAGTACGAAAAGTTTACGTTTCTAAGTTTAACAATTCCTATATTATTTAGAATACTAATCTTAAGATCAAATTAAAGGTTTTCTTTCTTCTTTTGTTTTTTAAACCTCTTTAATGATCAAAAAAGAAGCAAATCATGTCATTCTCTTGAAAAATGACCAGAAGTAACTCAGAAAAATTTCACTTTTCCTTGTGAAAACGAACGTAGGATATACAGAAAAAACTATAGAACATTGTGAAAAATGTCCCTTTTCACAGGTAAAAATTAACAAGGAGCAGGTAGAGAAAAGTGTTACTGAAAGTATTCTTCCATTTAAAATGAATAAAACTAGATGAAAGGAAAGATGAGAGACCTACGTCCAATGAAAGTTTTACAAAAAATGCAAGGTACGACACAGAGCTTTGATGTATGGGTTGTTTTCTTGGACCTCCTCTTAGGATGGATCACCTTTGCTAAATGAAATAGAGATTATAGGTATTGTATAGGTAAGTAAAATAAATAGTAAGAAAAAATAAGTTCTTGACACAACGAAAGAAAATTATGACTTTATGTGAACTATGTCATTGAGTGTAATCGTAAGAGAAAGTGCCCCCCCCCCCCATAAGACTCTGTAGGAAAAACTCAAATCCCCCCCACCTTAAATAACTAATGAAACGGTCCCCAAAAGTGGAGAATAGGCAGCATAAATTCAGATGGACTAATCTCCGTTTAAGCAAGCTACTTCCTTCATAATTCGCTCATCTTTTTCGGATACTGGTAGTTTTTATGTAAAAACCCAACATGTGAATTCAATAAAAATACAAAACCTAGTTCACGACGATCGATCAAGTACCACTTTTGTTCTCATTAAAACGTTGCAGGTTAATTTGTGAACACAATAAAACTGCGACACTTGCAGTAGTGTATAAAAAGTGGAAAATATAAAATGAATCCTGCCTGAGTGAGTGGTTGCCTAAATCTTACTTCCTCTGACATTTCATCACTACTATAAACCAGACAATAGATTCAGTGAGACCCAATCTCCACCTTTAGTCCTCTTGATCCGTCTGTCCATCCAGTGTATCTAGTCTTTACAGTCAAGTGGTCAGTTTTAATCACTGAAATAAAAAGGCACGTTTCTCTAGAATGGCTATTTGACTTGCATCTTCGACAAAATATTTATTCCAAATGAAAGAACCCTGCACCATTCTTATAGGAAATCTCCCTTGATCAAATATGATGAAACTTTGATAAGTCCCTCAGCTAGTCATTCTGATCAACAGCTCTCACGGGCCGAAAGAGATCCCATGTGCGGTTTTTGAGATATTCGCCATTTTATATGCGTGAATGGAGGTCCCGCATGTAAAATGCCGAATATCTCGAAACCCGCACATGGGATTTGTTTCGGCCCGTCAGAGGCTTTGATCAGAATGACTAGCTGAGCAACATGCCAAAGTTTCATCAGATTTGACTGGGGGAGATTTCCCATAAGGATGGTGCGGGGTTTTTTAGGTCCTCTAAAACATAAGACCCCTCAGATATCACAATTTTGAATATTAGATACAGTATAACAGAAAAACATAGATATGGAGATCTTGCAATATCATAAAATCGGACTATTAAGAAGCTGGAAATAGAATTCATCTCCCCGCATTCCTCTGTAAGTATTTACTGAGGTTATAATTAATGGAGTATTTTCCACCAACACAGGGACAGGAGGGCTCTTTTGACTAGCAGTGGTGCAGAAAGTTCTTAGCCTACCCCAATTTATAATGGGCCTGTTCCAAACTTTTGCTAGAGCAAAACTAAGAGTTGTTTCCTGCAGATAATGCCTCAAAAATCACGATGAGCGCATCGGCAAAGTCTGAAATGCACTCATAACTTCACAATCTGCGTAAGATTTTTGCGGTTTTTTGAGCTTCCCGCTTCGAAAACGATACTACGGTACAGGTGAACATTTTGTTAGAGGAGTCGTTCCATTGGCGACAATACTCATCATGGCCGACGCCAGTCCGCCAAAACACGTGTGATGGGACGAGATAACACCTGAACAGGATTAAACCATTTAACAATCGGCGTGTTTACGTTCATATTTTCCTCGCCCGCCTTAATTGACCTTGAACTCTCCTCGAATTACGCGAGGAACTGCGCAAGCGTCGGCCATGATGAATATTGCCGACGATGGAGCGACTCCTCTAACAAAATGTTCACCTGTGCAGTAGTATCGTTTTTGAAGCGGGAAGCTCAAAATAACGCAAATTTCTAACGCAGATTGTGAATTTATGAGTGCATTTCAGACTTTGCCGATGCGCTCATCGTGATTTTTGAGGCATTATCTATAGGAAACAACTCTTCATTCTGCTCTAGCAAAAGTTTGCAACAGGCCCATTTGCCTTCCCTAAAATTTGCTGTTTTGCTGTAATTGCACCTCTACATAAAACAACACGCTTAACAGTTTCCTTCCGCAAATGCAATGCACTTAAAAAGTTTCCTCTCTCAAAGCGGCGCTCTTTAAAGTATCTTCCCTCATAGAGGAAAAAAAGGAGGTGTTTGCATCTTGAGATTTGTTTACCTTGTGACGTAGGTCGGTACAACCTGGCCAGCGAAATCCGGAATTCGAAGTATGAAAAACGGACCACAGTGTCCGATTTTTTTGCTTAAATCAACTCTTGATATAATTCCAAGCACTTTTTGTAGAATGATTTTTTTCCCATAAATTACACCATTTCCAAGAAAATCGATGATAAACTCGTTGTACCGACCTACATCATCCAAGATGCCCGAAATGCAAACACCTCCTTTTTTTTCTCTATGATCGTCCCTCACAAGCAGAGCACTTAAAAAACTTCCAGCAATTTAATGACTTGCTTGACAGTTTCCTTCCCCAACAGCAGCACGTTTGAAAAGCATTTAGCTCAAATAACAATGCACTTCCCAGTTTTTTCCCTCAAAAAACAAGGGGTTCAACAATTTCCTTCCCAAGAAGCGGCATACTTTATATAATCGAATGTAATGGTGTGCAGAATGGTTCCTTCATAAATTAGATGTTGCATGTGGAAGTAGGAAATTGTCCTTTGTCAGATGCATTGAGGAAAACATACAGACAGCATTTAGCATTTCATAAAATTTAGTTCTTGTTGAACTGAAGTTCCATGAACACTTCAGACTTCTTTTTCTTAATTTTTACTTTATTCTGCACATTCTGCACCCCTCATAACTAGCTGAGGGTATTTCAATTTTAGAAATCATACAGACAGTTTAAGTGGTGGCAGGACAGTATCTCCAGCAGCAGTACCTTCAAAAATTCAATTTGGCCAGGCGAGAGGTTTAAACTCTGATTTAGATAAAACGATGAGAAGTTACTAAACATTGAAGAAACTCACCAGAGTTCACACATCACCTTCCTCTCAAATAATGGTTACGAATCTCTTATCTTGTCAGAGAAAATCACATCATTGGCACTAAAGTGCAGTGAGTAGAAAGGGAAGTGCGTTCACAAGAGAGAGCAGTTACTTTTGGTTTGTTATTGTCGCAAGAATTTGGAGATACGATTATTCTGACAGCGTGATGTTTAAAAAGAGTTCTAAACTTGAGTGCTGTCTTTTCATCATCAGTTTTCGCTAAAAATTCCTCCGCCTAAAAGGAAAAACAGTTAGTCATATCATCAATTGGTTCCAAACAGTGAAAATCACAAAACTTCAAGCTCCTTCTTAGCTAAATTGAATCTCTCACAGTTCGAAAACAACCCATCTAGGAAAAATGAAATTTTTCAGGAGACGATTCCATTTTCTGGCCCAAGTATCATTCACTTCTTTATTAAAATGGTGTGCACTTTTGCACAGTCTCCCCAGCGGCAGTAGAACAGGCACGGTTCGCTTCCAAGGGAAGTTAATGAAATTGTGTTGCCCACTCAAAATTCCTTCGGGATCGTGAAGTGGGATGCATAGACAATCATTTTAGCCTAAAATGAAAATATTCTGCCAAGCTCTCCCAAAATAAAATCGATTTTGGTGTTTTTGGCGCTAAAATGGCGTTCAAAGACGATCGATGATTCAATTCCGATGGCTTGTGCATATGTAAAATGGTATGTGTGTGATGGAATCCACGTATTTTTAGACCGAAAATCGATTGAGCAGGGTCCCGAATCGGTCCGAAGCTTCATTGACCGAAAAATGGGCCTTTTTTGGATTTTAGGGGTGTTTTGGGCCCATTTTTGCCAATTTTGGCGTGAGAAAACCTGTGCCGTCATGGGTAATGATTATCAGGTCATTTCGGGCGGACCATCGAATTCACTTGGTCCCGAGACTCTCCGGGGCTTCCGGAGTGACACAGGGTTTTCAGAATAAAGGGGATCAAAGTCTCCGATTTTCACTCAATTCTGCAGGTATTTTAATGTTCAATTCCGACTATAAATTATTTTCTGATTTAGATATCGAAGAGCGTTTTGCGGTGGTTGATTCAGCTACATGTGGTGGATTCTTCTACATATTTCACAAACCCTCATTTTGTTTTTTTTTTGGGGGGGGGAGTGTCTTTTTCTATACAGGGTGTGCACAAGGTGTGGGTACTTGTTAATACCTCGAGAACGGTGGCAGATATTGACTCACGGTTTGGACGAAACTTCCTTGAACTAAAGTAGGTACATTTTTGGTGAAGGGTTATGACCCCCCTCGCCTCCTCAGGGGTTGGGGATACAGGGCAACTTTCGAGTCTCGAATGGGAACCCCCATCGTGTGATACCTCGCTTGAAAGAACTTAAAAAAAGACAATTATTCGTATTAATTGCAAGTTGCCATACTTCACCGTCACAAAATGGCGGCTGGATCAGGTTCAAAATGGCGAAAAATGGATATCTTGATCGTTAAGCGGTGGATTTTGATGAAACTCAATAACCAGGGGTATTTTTTTCAGGAAAAGTACGAATCTGACAACAGAATACAAAAAATATTACGATGTTTTAAAATTGGCAGGCTTTCAAATGGCGGTCATATCGATATTTTCGAGAAGTTGAACCTACCAGCCTACCAGCCACCTCCCTGGGGGGCGAGGGGGTTATAACCCCTGGAAAAAAATAAGCCTGGTTATTGAGTTTCATCAAAATCCACCGCTTAACGATCAAGATATCCATTTTTCGCCATTTTGAACCTGATCCAGCCGCCATTTTGTGACGGTGAAGTATGGCAACTTGCAATTAATACGAATAATTGTCTTTTTTTAAGTTCTTACAAGCGAGGTATCACACGATGGGCGTTCCCATTCGAGACTCGAAAGTTGCCCTGTATCCCCAACCCCTGAGGAGGCGAGGGGGGTCATAACCCTTCACCAAAAATGTACCTACTTTAGTTCAAGGAAGTTTCGTCCAAACCGTAAGTCAATATCTGCCACCGTTCTCGAGGTATTAACAAGTACCCACACCTTGTGCACACCCTGTATAGAAAAAGACACCCCCCCCCCCCCAAAAAAAAAAAAACAAAATGAGGGTTTGTGAAATATGTAGAAGAATCCACCACATGTAGCTGAATCAACCACCGCAAAACGCTCTTCGATATCTAAATCAGAAAATAATTTATAGTCGGAATTGAACATTAAAATACCTGCAGAATTGAGTGAAAATCGGAGACTTTGATCCCCTTTATTCCGAAAACCCTGTGTCACTCCGGAAGCCCCGGAGAGTCTCGGGACCAAGTGCATTCGATGGTCCGCCCGAAATGACCTGATAATCATTACCCATGACGGCACAGGTTTTCTCACGCCAAAATTGGCAAAAATGGGCCCAAAACACCCCTAAAATCCAAAAAAGGCCCATTTTTCGGTCAATGAAGCTTCGGACCGATTCGGAACCCTGCTCAATCGATTTTCGGTCTAAAAATACGTAGATTCCATCACACACATACCATTTTACATATGCACAAGCCATCGATCGTCTTTGAACGCCATTTTAGCGCCAAAAACACCAAAATCGATTTTATTTTGGGAGAGCTTGGCAGAATATTTTCATTTTAAGCTAAAATGACTGTGTATGCATCCTACTTCAAGATTCCTAAGGAATTTTGAGTGGGCAACACAATTTCATTAACCTCCCTCTGAAACGAACCGTGAAGGTTTATGCAACTGGTGCCGACTAGACAGCTGCTAGAACCATCTGACACATTTGCTCAAAATTACTTTAGAACCCCATTTCCTTATGAGAAGCTGTGTATTTTTGGAGGAAAGAAGAGGCAAAAAAAAAATTTTTGAGCAAATAGGTCATATGCCATATCAATGCTGCGTACCTTCTCGCGTATAATCTAAATTAGAAGTCAAAACATACCTTTGTCATTTGAAATTCCCGACTTACGGCCTTACAAAGCCCCAAGATTTTCGGAAGGTCGTGGCCCCCATAATTTTGGGTCAACAGGGGTCATGTGGCATATCAATAAAAGGGCATTGACCTCTTTTCTCAGAACACTTTTAGATTTTGAAAATTGAATAACTTAACGCCCACGGTGTCCAATTGAAATTCGCCCAAAAAATGTCCCAAAATGCCTCGAAACTCCAAAAAGTAGGGGTTCAGGAAAAAAGTGCATGGAACAAAAATTTCTTATTCTTGGATAAAGAATTTAAATCCGATATCAAAACCTACACTAACAATTTGAAATAATCAAGAAACGGGGGACACCACCTCTAATACCCCCCTCCCCCAATGGGGTTTAGGGGGGCTGAGAATGTTTTCATTGATTCTTTGGAGTTACAGTTGTCGTCTCGAAGCTCAATGTTCGGCCGTTTCCGAGAAGAAGATAGTGGACGAGTGCTCTGGAATACCCAGTATAATGGTGCACATGTTGCTTTTCAACTGAGCTGAAATTGCAGTTCCTACTTGCAAAACGTAGTCCAATTGGCCTGTTGCAAACTTTTGCTAGAGCAAAAATAGGAGTTGTTCCCTATACATAATGCCTCAAAAATCACGATGAGCGCATCGGCAAAGTCTGAAATGCACTCATAACTTCACAATCTGCGTAAGAAAGCGTTTTTAAAGCTTCCCGCTTTAAAAACGATACTACGGCACAGGTGAACATTTTGTCCGAGGAGTCGCTCCATCGTCGGCAATATTCATTAAGGCCGACGCTTCCGCAGTTCCGCGCGTAATTCGAGGAGAGTTCAAGGTCAATCAAGGCAGGCGAGGAAAATATGAACGTAAACACGCCAATTGTTATCTGGTCTTATCCTGGTCAGGTGTTATCGCGTCCCATCACACGTGTTTTGGCGAATTGCCGTCGGCCATGATGAATATTGCCGACGATGGAACAACTCCTCTGACAAAATGTTCACCTATGGCGTAGTATAGTTTTTGAAGCAGGAGGCTAAAGAAACTGCATTTCTTACGCAGATTGTGAAGTTATGAGTGCATTTCAACTTTGCCGATGCGCTCATTGTGATTTTTGAGGCATTATCTATAAGAAACAACTCTTAGTTTTCCTCTTGCAAAAGTTTGCAACAGGCCCATTAACCTGATAGCAATGGGGCTAAAATGCGATGACATTTGAAATTTAAATAGATACCATTGGGGCATTCCATTAAAATTTAATCACATGCTGTTTGGGCATCATATAACATCATTGCATTTTCAGGAAAAGAATCTGAAGTAGAAAAGTAAGTACAATACTCTTCATGAATGTCGATGGTTTGTTTGCAGTTAGTTCACCAAGCTTTTCACCCAGTTTTCAAAAATATGTTTTCTAAAATATAGTCTCAAAGTTATTCAGACTTAAACGGATAGAAGTAAAACGATCATCCAGAAAGAAAGGAAGTTGGATGATGTTTTACTTCCCATAAACCACCACTAATAGGAACCTTTCTCAAGGCACTACTTTTAACTTTCTGATAAACCCATAACCATTGACCATTTATCATTTACATTGAATTTTGACTTTCTGAGGGTACCAGTGGGCCAAGTTTAATTTCCCATAGCATATTAGAAAGCTGATGCAGTTTGAGGGTGTATCATACAGATCACTTCTCTCTGTCATTGTTCAAGAAATATAAAATCATTATATGGGCGATTTCACGATAACAGGGATAGCTACAGTGTGCAACACCTTAAAAATTAAAGTATACAAAGAGCTTGATGCAAAAACGGCTTTTTTTCGCCCCCCCCCCTCTGGAAGTTCTTCAGACTTTGTCTATTGATTACTCATACTTGAGCGCTTCTTTTCCCAAATTTTCAGATTCCCAAAAACTTTTTGGGGGGAGCTAGGGGGGGTGGAAGTCAAAACATGTGAACCTCGATATCTCTTGAACAAAGAAAGATATCGAGGTCCGGTTTGGACGAAAAATCGTCTAAAATTGCATACTTTAAGATTCTAAAGGTCAAAACCCCCATATCACATTTTTAAGTCAACATATGTGCTTTTTTCCAGTTTTTAGGTTTAGAAAATTTCTTTTAAACGAAAAATTTACAAAGATCTCAATTTTATATTTGAACCAAAACCAGTTTTTTAAATTGTTCGTCTTTTTCCGCATCCAACGAGTGGTCCATTAAGCTGGGGAACCAAACGGTCCCGGAGTTATGATCGATTGAAGTTTCCGCTCAACGCGCGCCGACCGATTTTCGCGCGCAAAAAAGTCGGATTTGACTGTTATTAGATCGGATTGAATGT